CATTTGTGGACACATTAACAAACAAGCAAGCACTGATAGATGTTACAGGTAAGACTGATCCCAAGACAGACCAGTGCATTAATTCGTGTCTACACCACATCCTAAAACAAATGGAACAAGTCACGAGTAACAGTACAAACCTGTTGCAACTTCAACACATCTTAGAAAAAGACAATGCATGTACCCAGCCCTAAGACAGTGACGAGTTTGTGAGATAACTTTACAAAGATCAAGGTACCAGAAGAGGAAGGCACATTAACCTCTGGTTGGTCCATTTCGGTATTATTTGGATCAGTCATAATGGTTCATATACCCTGAGACTGTGGGAGGCCTTGAAAAGGAAAGGAGACCAGGTGAATGGGCAAATAAAAAGTACAAGTTTAATGAGATTTAAAGATTCAGCACCTGAATGTTCCCTTTTAATAAGGGAATCTAGAAAAGCAGTTCCTAGGAAAACAACATAGTGACTCCTAGATTTTTGTTCTGAGGTCAAAGAATCTAGGACTATAGAGACATCGTGCTATGTTGCAAGGGTTTTTACATACCCTCTCAGTTTCAGTCTAATGACCAGAATCTGTATACAGTCAAGGGTTTTACTTGGTGGTATTTTGGGTACAGAAACAGTCAGGCAGCCCACATTTTCCCAATTCTGCTGACCCTGGCATCCTGTTTTAGACCTATGTGCACTTTCTTAGACAACACCACTCCCAGCAGCATACTAGAAAATGGCACTTAATTTTTAATTGGGAAGATTCCTTTCTGTCAAGACCATCCTTTTCATTAGCCAAGTAACATATGGTTTTGATAAAGAAACCCAGCATCACAAGCAAAAAAGATAGTTCCTAAGTTAAATCTTGAAAATTAACATGGAGAAACAAGAATGACAGGGATATCTACTTGATCTCTCTGAAAGTGTTTCTGATTAAGCCCTTTCGCAAGTACCTCCTGAGCAATGAACAAATATCCCCTCTATGTTTTTAAATTCCTCAGGAGTCCTGAGAGCAATACCAAACACTGCTGGGCTTTCACTTTATCTCTTGTGCACCCTCGCTCATCCTCACCACACAATGTGCCTGCTTGCAGAGGCAAGGGAGACTGTATGTGGGAGATCCCTTCAGACGAGATGTGGCTGTATTCTCCTTTCCACTCTCCCTTGTCTGCAAGATGGACTAATTGCTTGTATTTATGCTTCAGAAACTTTCAAGTAAGTTACTGAAGACACTGCAACACTCAGAAATGCATTTAAGTTGAGGTCACACCATAGGCTTTGGCAGTGGGGTGGCCAGTAGTGCACAGAGGGATTTTCACTTGGCATTAAGCTAGAGAGTGTGTGCCTGGCTAGCACAGAGTCCAGGGCTCAGCATCGGCTGGCCAGAGGATCAGCTCTGCCTGCATCACACACAGCTCTGCAACAGCGTTCCTAGGAACGAGTTGTACCCAAGTTCAGTATTTTAGTCATAGCAGCAATTGTGACAGGAGCTAATTAGGAACCTCTCAGACACCTTAGAAAAGTGAGTTTATGGAAAATAAGGGTATCAGACCACCACAAAGAGATCTCAGAGCTCCCACCTGGCTGCTGAACGATGCTGCTGCTTTGCTGAGATGCAGCAACTGACAGCCCATCTGTTCTTGGTTTCTTACAAACAAACAAAACAGGTGACCTCCACGAAGAGCCTGCTTTACTTCACGTCTGCACCAGGCAAAGGACATTAGTTCACAAGGTCAGTAAGTGCCTCTCTGCTAGGGGCAGAAATTAAGACATCAAACCACCACTCCACATAGCTGGATCATAACTTTAATCTCTTAACTCTGCAGCTGCAAGCTATATACAAAGCAAGTGCTTAGGTGAAGGAAGAGGACAAAATTTTGGAGAAGACTAACTGATACAGAAGTATCTTAATCCTTAAGATACAAAAAAACTGCCAAAGACTTGAAATGGAGGCAGCAAATATATCCCCATAATGAAGTTCAAGAGTCCCCCTCATTAAGGGGGTCACAGGAGCCCTCAACAATGTGAATGTAACCTCTGTGGACAGAATAAGTCCAGTAAGATCACTGGGGACTCTTGCAATGAATCTTAAAAATGGATCTACGTGGAAAATTAACAACTCAGACTAGGAACAAACACCTATTAACTATTCTTTGGTAATTTACTCAAGTTGAACTAACACCAGCAGCACTGATGAGGGAACCAAACAAATATACTCACTTCTTTACCGCAATCCCAGAAAGCACTCAAGGAGAGCACTAGCAATTCTCCCTGACTGACTTGACTATAAAAGGGAGAAAGCTGGAGGAATTACCAGGAATAAGGTGTTTGGTGAAGAGGGTGAGCACCACCCCCATTGCTATCGTCAAGCCAATCCTGCAAAGTAACTTCTGCTTCCTTAGGAATGTCCATCATGTAAGACCCAATTGTTACTGAGGGATTGCTACCCAGTACTTACAAGCTGGGTATCAGCAAACCCATAATTAAGTCATGAGTTTGATTACCTGTGATTATGAATACTGAAAATGTAATACCCAAAGAAACCCAAATTAACATGGCAGTCTACTGAAAAGAGCCAAGTGGTAACATTAACTGCTTCCTAAACTCACCAGCAGCATAAAAGATCCCACATGACTGAAAAGTCAACAGCAGGAAGAAAAGTCTGAAGGTCTGAAGGAATGATTAAAGTTCTTTTTTATCCTTCAAGTGCCTAATGCAAGATAAATCAGAGTCTGTTTCCCCCCCCACCCCCACCCCCGCCCCGGAATAGACTGTTACTGTGTAATCCCATCAGTCAAACATGTACAAGGGCAATGCCCAGTTCTACAGTCTGAGCCGGCCTCAAAGGTCTACTCAGTTTAAAATTAAGCAAACTGAAGGTCTCAAGCATGGCCTGACAAAAAGCCAGCAAGCCCATTTCTGATTGACAGAGGTCACCCCTCCAAGTACAATATTGTTACAGTAAAGATTGGGATGATTTGGGGGGGAGGAGGCAACCCCAAACAGACCATCCAGGAGGGCAGGAAAAAGCAAGGATGGGAAATCATTAAGAAACATTGACCAACCACAAAATATTCTGAAACTTAACATCTGTATCACTACAAGCATTTAAAACCACTAGAACAGGATAGAAATAACATTATCTCTGGCCCAATTTGTTTGCATGCTTGCAACACTATCTAGTTTGTTTCCATTTTGAGGGGGAGATTTTCATACAGCAACAAGGATGGCTCCCTCCCCATAGGAAGTTATCTTTGCAAGAAAGCACCCCAAAAGCAGAATACACATACACATGTGAAACTTGAAGAATTTAACATCATTGTCCAGATTCTTCTGTGAATTGTCCAAAGCTTCCTACGCAGAAAAAAAAAAATAAGAAGGAAAAGGGCACTGACACTACCAGGCTTTAGGGGGTTTCCAGACCTTTGGAAATTTTCCTTTGGCATATTCCTTTGGCACTGGTGACACTAAGTGCCTAACTAGCATCTGTTGTTTCAGCAGAAGTGGAGGACACTTCAAGTTTACTCATGTCTAGTTTCTTAATAAAAAAAAAAAAAAAAAGCAGTGCCTCAAGCCAAGCCCAAATAAAAAAAAAACCTCAGCAGAACATGTTCCCTGTGACAGAATGATCTTACACTGCAACTAGAGGAGTAACCCTCAAAATACACATCCTGCCATACTTGACCAAGACTTTTCTCTGTATGCTTTCACTTTCAAAAACCCCTAAAATAACCAAAGCAGTGTGTTGCCCTCACAGAACACAGGCACCATTATGGCACCTTTAAAAAACAATGAACAACTCTAAATAAAATTTGAGAGCTCCTTTGTTACCCCATTGCATATAACTTGCCCCTTTTCAGAGAAAAGTGTGAATAGCCATGCACGCAGCACTGTGCACTGATTCAGTTTAGGCAACCAACCCACAAGGGAAGCAGAATGATGAAACGCTGCAAGATCTGTTTGTGAAGCACCCGTGTCAGTGCTCAGTGTGAGTAAATTATACTTCTGGGACAAGTGCACATCTGGGAGACCTCTTATCTTCCCTGATTTCCACCAGATGGGAGGGAACTGCGTTCCTTGCAGGATTTCCATCCAAGTCTCCACTACCAACTAGAGAGTAAGTCTGAGGCTCACTGCTCGGCATTACGAACGAAGATACTGAGTACAAAGATGAGAGGGACTCAAAGGACACATGCAGACTAGCTCTAGGCAGTCTGGCAGGAACTGTGTAAGGGACTAGAGCTAGTCTGCAGCAGTGGCTGTGATCTCCAGCAGAGACAGGAGAACAGAGCATGTCCCAGTCTTGTCTTTATTATCCGATTCTGCCAACTGCCCATTCGGCACCAAAGCAGTGAGGTACAGGCACACTCTACTCCACTGGTGACAGGAGCAGGGGAAAAGCATTCATCGCAGGACAGATATGTCAGTAACAAGCTGAGAGTGTGCTGCCTGCCAAGAGGCCAGGAGGAGCATCCTGGAGTCATGCATTTTAGCTGAGCATTAGGTAAGACCACCAACCCTGGAATGCACACGCTTCACAGCTGGACCCGAAGGGCATCGGACCTATTCTCCCCACCCAGTCCCACGTGAAGTTCAAGGGAGTCTGAATGCAAAAGGCAGCAGGGGATTTGGGGAAAGACCGAGCCTCTCCTATAGCAAGCAGGATGACAGCAGATGCTAGTGCAATGGGATGCTAGCGCAACGTGAGCTAACAGCAAGTTATCTTGCTACATGGAAAGCTTCTAGCTCACATCAGTTAAGTCTGAGATGCACTCTTTAACGTTTGAGAAAAAAATCCAAACAGTTTATGTATTCCATCAGCTTATTAGAGGAGATGGCCAACCAGAACAGCTAAAATGGGAAAAGCTTCCACAACCTGGGACAAAAACGGTCCTGGGTTTTAGGCAGTTTATGAAGAACCCACAAGCTACTGCAAGCAGCATACTCGGGAACCTTGGCTCATCTGGAAAATGGATAGATTTAGTTCATTTTGAATTATAAGAACAATCATGTCCCTAGCCCCCATTTGCTCTCAGCAACTCTGCAGGCCCTCAATGTAACGTCACCCTGCAATAGCCACACTGCAGAACAGCCTATGCAAATTCCAGTTGTACAAGCTGATACCTGGGACAGGCAGAGAAGGAACAGAAGATCAATTTTTGCTCCTGGCACTACTGAAAACTACAGTTCAAATACAAACGCGCTTTTGAGAACTCCTGCACTTCTGCAGTTTGGGTTTGATGGGCAATAGCCCTGGGGAATCCATCCCTGGACTCCAATGAGTACAGCTTAAAATTACCATAATTCCTCTACATATAAACAGTGTCATTAGACTTGTACTTTTAAAAAATAAGATCAACCCAGGCCAGGGCCAGGCTCTGCAGATAAAGTAGTAGCTTATCTCTTATAAATATTTTTAATATTTCTTAATTACAAGTAGTCCTCACTCCAGGTAATGTAACTGACACAAAGTACCTGCACACACGCAGCCCCTAGACTTTCACAGAAAGCCCAGGAGCAACCACTCTATAAGAAAGGAATCCTACCTCACAGCAAAGTAGGGGAGAGGGCACATGGCCAAGATAGCCTAAATGTGGGAGAAGAGTCATTTGGAGTAAATACAATAAAAAGGGATTTCAAACACCCTTCATATAAAGGATCAAGAAGGTTAAAGAAAAAACTGGTTCAAAAAGATGTACAAAACCAGGAGACCAACAGAAAACTCTGCCAAAAAATAACTTGCATTTAAATCAGAAATCAATGGCATCACACAATTCTGTTGTTAAAAAAAGGAAAAGAAAAGTGGAAATCTGTGTAAAGATCAGCATTTATAAAGAGTTATCATTAGCTCCAGAGACCAGCGTAATTCCCATGAAGTCCTGATGGAAGGGGGCCTCCTGCCACAAAGAGTTTTGTTCCAGATGAGTCGTAGCAATGGGTGTAAACAGCGTTTGGGAAGAAATTTATGTCAGAAAAATAATTCCTCCAGGTTTCATCATGATTCTGTGAAAGGAAAGTTTAGATTATTATTGTTGTCAAACAAACCCAAAGACTTGTTTCACAAAAGCAAAAGGTAGCTTCCAGAGCCTAAAATGTGATCTTCTGTGTTAATATTCCCTGAAGCTTCCGACAGATCAACTTGAAGATACCAGAGTTTTCCTGAAGCTTTTTCTGAGGACATTTGGGCAAAACATTGGACGGTGGGAAAGATACCAAGTTTCATGAGTTTTTAAACTTACATCACAATGATACAAAAGATAGAGAATTTAGACAAAGCCATTAACTGCTTTATGATAACATACAGGAAATTGAACTCAAGTGCCTGCCATGGTGTTACCTCAGGAAGTCACAGTTTCTAAAACTCCACGCAATTAAATTAATCCTCTCTTACTTTGAGTATCATGGTTTTAAAGGAAGACAGCATATTTTGTGTTTGAGGTTCTGAAAACTAGAATTCAGATTACATTCGAAAATATAAAGTTTACTAACTATATAAAAACTAGTTCGTTTATGAATCAGTGCATAGGAACAGTAGTCAGTATGCCTGACAGCCAAGCAACCAACCTTCAATACCCTTTCATAAAGCTTTTGTAGAAATCAGTTCTGCAGCACTTCTTGCTTTTCATGGTCACAGTTACTGGTTACATGATGGCTGTTTTGCTGAGACACATTTCATACAATAGCTCCCATTACTGTAAAAAGAACCACTTCAAGCCCTACGGCACTCCTGTGTAAAGGGTATCCTACAGCCTCAAGCTACTCACCAGCCAGCCTTTCCCCGTCGTCAACTTCAGTATTTCACTTCCTCCTAATTTCTGCCTCTGTCCATAGCAGGCACGTGGGGGCTTTTCATCCAGGAACCTCTGGGCTCTGATATCATAGAACAATAAGGAACCTTGCCCTGTTCCCACTGTGATGATGTGCTCGTAGAAGCTCACCGATCGAATACCTGTCAAACAGAGAAGGGACGTACAACGCAGTAAGGAAGATGGATGCTTTGGCTCTGCAGTGCTGCTGCTTAGTATTTGCTTCAAGAGGAACTACCTACTAGTATTCTCCACAACACGTAGGTTTCCCCACTGCTATGGAGCAGGGCTGACAAATCCCACTGATGCTATTGAAACAGCAGCTTCAATTACATATACTACTTCCCTTCTCCTCTGAGGCCATCAGCTACACTGACGGTGCATAGTAAGAAGCTTCATTCTCAGCAGGCCCCAGCTCTGCCAGATAAGCAAAGATCATAAGCCATTCAGGATCAAGAACAGCTTTGTTCTGTCTGCCACGAGCCTCTACGTGAACACACCATGAGTGACTACATGGCAGCAGACAGAGGAAAGAACATCACATTGGTTTCCCCATGAGCTCACACCCCATCTAGCTACCTGCCAAGCTGCGGTAAGCAACCATGTGAGAAAAATTACTGTCCCAGCTGCCACCAAGTGCATTTTGCTGATCAACAGGCTAGCCGGAAGAAAGTATAACCATAATAATCACCAGTCACTTTACTGCTAAAATAGAGCAGGCTCTTAAATATTTTTGAAGCTAACTCCAACTCAAATTTTCTCACACAAGCACACCTTACTCTTTGTAGCTGGCACTTTTAGCACTTCACCCAGCAATGAAACCAGACTAGAAAGCCTACAACCTAAGCACCACCATGTTACACCATCACAGGCAAAACTACAGCATGTTTCCAGTCCAAACAAAACGCTCTAGCACAATTCAGTCATGCCATTAGACTCAGTAAAAGAAGTACATTTTGTTTTCACAAAATCTAAAACTGAAGCCTCAGCTAAACAAGGATCCCTTGGAAATAGTCTTGGGGAGATTCTGTATGCAGGAATTTGCATTTGCAAAAGGTCCTGTCATCTCATCTCTATGTATTGTGCCAAAGGTGTATTCTGTGTAAGCACTCTACCCCAAACAACACTTCTACGCAGATTAAACCCCGCCACATCTATGCTTTTCCTTCTAGCACAACACGATGCTAGGTTATAAACTCCAGGACTTTTTAAGCCCTCTTTAAAGTACCAGTGAATTACAGCCTAAACAAGCATTCGCACAGGAAGGGAAGAGAATTGAGTTACACCAGCTACATCCATGTGCTAACTGCTGTCACCGTACCAAGTGGGACTGAACGTCACAAGACTGGTAACATCCTGGAACACACCCTGCAGGACACGTGGCAGTCAACATCCCAGAGGTACGGATGCAGCCAGGGAGTTTCCCCTTCCCCTTTGTACAGAGTCCTAACCAGAAACACATCCTCATCCTTCCGCCTCTGCAACCTGATGTTACTTACATCCACAGCCACCAGCACCTGTGACACACGCACTTAGAACAGGCAAGGTCACACTGTTGTGCTCCAGATGTGAGGTGAAGTCTTGGCTGCAGGATTAATATATGGGAAACCACTGTGCAAGTCTCACACCTGCTGAATTAGTTTACCAGTTCCGTGTAAGAATCTCTGCTTTAATTCAGAGAACTACCAATGCATCTGAGCAAGCTGGAGACATTTTCCCCACATCACCCCATTACAAGGGCCTGGCTCTGGCAAATACATGCAGAAACCTTTAAGCCCTCTGCAATCATCAAGAGCAGTCACTTGGATTAGAAGAGAAAGGCACAAGAGGGGACCTCCTCTTATTTTTGCTCCAAAAGTGCTCTTGACAAGCTACCCAGCAGAACACTCAACAGAAACAGGTGATGGAGAACGAAAGCAGATGGCATATACTTTTCAATGCATTTTATTAAAAAAAAAAAAAAGCTATAAAATGTAAAACAACTGTGGATCTTTCTCTAATAAAAAAAATTAGCGGAAGGAATCTGTGATGTACCCACTACTAAAAGGATGTTTAGAACAGGCTTTCAAGAACAGCACTTCAAATTGGCTCCTAAGGGGCTGAAGTACCTCAGATTAATCATTCCCATCAAACTAAAAGCACAACCTGTGCCTAGAACCCATCATGGTAAGCTCTTCTACATTCCCAGCACTCTACCACCTGTGGACCTGGACTATTTGGGTCAGCAAATTGAGTGTCACTCCTGAGAGGCAGGGAGGCTCTACAAATCCCAGAATGAAATGAAGATGCAGTAGTGTGTCCTACACAAGGAGCAGGCACAGAGTCTGTGCAAGCTCTGTCCACAACGTTAACATTGCTGCCTTCAGGATATAAAGTCAAGGGCAAACGACACAGCACTGCACGCCAGCTGAGCAGAAAGCAGTTGCTCTTGCAGATCATGAAGCAGCGTCCAGGGCCTGTGCTTCCCTGTGCAGCTGCTAAGAAAAGCAACACTTACAAAATGCACTAAAAAGCATTAGCTACCTTCAAATGTAGAGCAGACAGGGTTACACTGGGTAAAAACCAGCCCCCGTTCTGGTCTTACTAAGTGATGACCTTTCTCTGACCTGCTTTTGTACACAACACTAATGATCTGAAGTTAATGTGGCCTTACCATGTTCAGTTTTGCATTTGGAAGCTGAAAGCACATTCAGGTAACACTTCAAAGCACTTTAAAGTCAACCCAGATTTTAGTCCACAAATCAATAAGCAGCCTACTTTCTAGAGGTGCTGCACCACTCCAAATCCCAGTGAGACCAATAGAAAGTTGAAACACTCTGTATCTTGGGAATTAGTATTACTTAAGTGCCTCCACCACCACGGCAAAAAAAAAAAAAAAAGATCCGCCTACCACGCAGAACAGAAACCAGCAGTGAACAAAGGCTATCTCCAGACATGAACTGGAGATGCCCCAGAGATACTACCTACGCATAGATCCTCTCCCCAGCAGGGATGATCACATACTCAAGACAGGAGCTTTCAGCCACCAGCCACCACTGGGCACCACACCCCAATGTCTTGGTATTCCTTCCCTATCATACTTAAGGGTGAGAGTGTCAGGACCTCCACAGTGCCCTTGCTGACAGCGGGTGAGGACAAGGGCTTTTGCCAGTAAGATGTTCAGGTGAAAACATGAGCTGGTGAAGCACCTCTTCTCATATAATAGAAACTGAACCTGTATCTGAAAGCAGCAGACCCTGACAATATATTGAGACAGCACAGTTCAAACTCCAGTAACCACATAAATAAAACTTTCCTAATCCTTGCCTACGTGAATTCTGCTTGCCCAATGTGCCCCACATGACTACTTGCCCAATGAAGAGATGATGCCTAGTGTCAAGCTAAATAAGGACTGCAGCTTAATAGTCTGGGATAAATATGGTTTAAAATAGGAACCACCACACCATGCCTTCTCATGCTTGAAAATAATGGGTATAGGAAGAAGCTTATGGGACCATGTACCCTGCAAGCTCTCATGCATGGCACTGGTGTAAGGTTCAGTTTGATCTCCTTCATCCACATCAGAAAATGGAAACAGCACTCAAATTGGCTTTTTTTTTTTTTTTTTAAGAGTGAGCTTTTGTATAGTTAAAGAAACTAAATACACGTTGAAAATTAAGAGTATCACTCATGGCTTTAAAATTACAAAGCAAGCATTCAATCACAGCACAGACTCCCAATATGATAGCACAGAGCAGACAACATGCTTTTTTTTTTTTTGTTCCCAGAAAAAAAATGCAAGAATAGACAGCATTAATAGCACTATGAAGACTGGGTTTGCATTGAAATGAAATAAAACAGAGAAAGACACATTAAAAAGTAAATAGAAGTAAAATGCACACTTTCACACTTTTGAAAGTTTGGTAATATTTGGATGGCGTAGAATTTAGTTGATCATAAAAGCACTAATGTTGCCTATCATTAGATTTCAGGTTTGCTTTTAAGTTTGGTTTGTTGGTTGCTCAAGGAATACTGTCATAAAAGCAAAACTTACATAAGCTATTAATCATTTAGTCTATCACAGGAAAAACCCTTCCTGTTTATTAAAAGCTTATCTTACTGCAGCCTTAATAGCTACTTCTGTAAGCAAACCATTTGAAGCACCCTTCGACAGGTTTCTTACCACTGCCTCGTTCCTTGGAACAGACGGATTTAACATTGTGAGAAGGCTGCCTGGGATCCAGAAAGGAGACGTGTGCCTGGGATCCTACTGCATACACTGACCACTCCTGACCATAAGCCAAACACACGTTCTCCCTGCAGTATGGCAACTTTGTGGAAAGTAACTGGAAACAGAAAAAAATAAAATCAACCCATTATGAGAAAAAAGCACGATGTTAATAGAATAATTCCATAAGATACGTTCAAGGAAGTTACAGTGAAAAAAACCAAGTGCAGCTAAAAAAATGAAGTGCTATTTTTGTGGTCAACGTAAGAGAAAAGCAACAACCTGACCTAGAGAAAATAACCCAGAGGAGATGGGATGCCTTATCTGAACCAAACTGAGATGATAAAGGCTGAAGCTAAGTATTATGCAAAGAACAAAAATTTCAGCAAATTGTTTTACATCTTTCTAAGCTGCCGTTATTTCTTCAACAGGTGTACACAGACATTAGCTCCCAGCAGAAAAAGCTTACCTCACACTCTTGCAAAGAGTTTGCTGTGTTTGATCTGCAATTACACTTAAATAAGCGCAACTTCATTTATCAACGCTGCTAATCAAGTATCCACTGTACTTTATGAAACGGTTCACTTCAGCTCACCCAAAACTGACAGAGAGTTAAGACCACTTCCCCCCCTCCAAAATAAGGAGACTGGAGACTTTCTCTCCCCAAGTTCTAATTTTTAGGACATTGTATTTGACATAAAGCTTTAAGTATATTATAAATACTGCTGCTCTTTCTCCAAGCATATAAAGGAGATGAAGAACACTAAACAGCCTTAACTGCTAGGCAGTTTTTGAAATTTTACGCCAACAAACAGAAAAGCACCTTTGATAATGTGTGCTCTGCTTTCCAAAGATGAAAATACCCATCTAGGGACACAGCTCCCAGCTCCTATAAAAAAAAAGTAAGAAAGTTAGTTTCTATGTTATAGATGTACGTACAAACTCACACTCTCTACTAGGCAGGCTGCATACTCTGGATTAATCTCATCCATAATCCTGTACATGCTTATCAAGATAAATTTTCATTTTATACTGATCTTGGTAGAACACAATACAGCACACAAAGCTGTCAGGTAGAATAAGAATTAATAAAACAGTAAATAACAAAAAATAACTTTTGAAAGTATAGATCTTGTTAGACAATCAAATAATGAATTATTAGACAGTACAAGCTAGAGTTGACAATTCTCTTCAGCAGGTGCCACACTGATTCTGACCCTGAAGCAAACATTTCTTTCAGGTACTACTCTACTGAAAAAGCTATATGAAGTCTCCATCACAGAGGAGTAACTAACAGCCAGAGAGAAAAATAAAGCCCACAGGATCACCGTGCTTCTGAGAGCGCACCCACCTTTGCTTCAGACCTTCTCTGTTCTTTGAGAGCAGAAAGAGAAGTAGTGGAGGATGAATTGCTACTACCACAAGTAATAACAAGAGATCAGCATGGCGGTGGTTAACATTTACTGTTCATCCAATGCCAACAAAATAACACCAAAGCAAGCACTGGTGCCTGTCCAGTGTGTCAGTCACCTCACTTGCTGAGCAATCCAGTAGATTCAGTCATCAAAAGAGGAACTGCCTGAATGTTAGCTGGTCTTCACAAAAGGTGAAGGAAAGCAGCAAGAGCACTCAAAAGCAGAATTCAAGCTGAAAGAGCTGTTTTGGTGCTTTATCTGCTTCTTGTAAACACTCCCTGTCTCCCCTGCTTAGGATACAAGTCTGAAATCAAACACACAGGAAAACTGCTCCTTCTGAAAACATACGATTTATTTTTTCTACTGGACTTCTCCATTTACTTGGGGCAGAAGCAGACAGCGGATAAAGACAACCTCATATGAGGAGTATGCAAAAGGATTAGGAAAAAAATATTAGGTCGCTTTTCTGGTATTTTTGATCCAAATTACTTTTTTCTTTTTCTAACACATACAGACAGTTTTAGGACTTCTCAGTTGTCTTGCTTACTGACCTTGTTCTTATTGTTGAAAGCCAATGCTCGGACTTTGCAGTTGTCAGGATTGGTGTTCTCCTTGGGGATATCCTTCAGAGCTCTATGTGTTATGTGGGCATAGACAGGAACTTGAGAGAGATTATGCCTGGCATCGCTTTTGGACAACACATCCTCTGTGACTTCCCAGAGACCCATCGAACCATCCCGTGAACCTGAAAAAACATTCCATAAATAAATACTCCATTTCACATATACATAATTCCCCTTTCAAAAAAAGGAATAAACAATGGGATATGACAGAAAGAATACTATTAATTTAATCTAACTGAACATGCTGTTGGTGCCTATACATTAATTATTCTCAACAAAACCATAATTTTACTGTGCTGTAAAGTTCATAACATTCTGAACTCTGTCACCTGGTTTGTCTACATGGTTTCCAAGCAGCTAGATCACTTCATTTGTTTTCAAACTGATTAGGATACATCAAAAGCCACAATCCTGTACAACAATTGCCATTAGAGATTCACAGGCAGAATAAACTCAGAGGCAACTGAATAGCCTGTGTTCAGCCTGGTTTACCTAGGCTGAGATTAATAGCCTGTTAAGCCAACATAAACACCTCCAAGAAACCTCAGTTGGGTTTATACCAATTTAGGTTCATTTCATCTCTGTTGGTATGCTTGTGGATATGTACACGCACGTTCATGAACCAAACAGAAACAACTATTTCAAACCACAATTCGTATTAATTTGTATCAAATCTATTTTCAAGATTATTTTTCTTAAACCCATGCAACCTTTCATTTAAAAAATGACACAAGAACTGAGGCTGAACAAACACGAACTCATTTTATTTCTCTACTGAATTTGAAGATACTATTAAAAAACATGAATCAATGAGAGTAACAATACTGGATGAAGGAAGCTGAATGTCTGGTTTGCAGATCAACACAGGCTTAATCCAAGGCCCTATACCCATCCCTTCTGGTATTTAGGTATCTGCACCAGACTATTTAAATTTATAGGCTTTGGTTCGTCATAGGGAACAAGCTGCAAAGACAATTAAGCAAAACATCTTATTGCAGTACGAGTGGTCCAGCACAACAGAGATGGCCTTGCCCCCTCGAAGGTGGATTCAGTCCTTTGCCATTGTCACCTACTACAGCCAAATACAAAAGGAGCTTCCTAATGGCACTACATAGCAGCAGGCAGCACGTGACACTACATCCTGCCATCAATTTACACGCTGATGTTTTTTAATGGCACCTAATCTTGTTTGTTGTGGAGGCTGAATACTCAGCTGTAGAATTTCTAAACACCTTGACATTAGGAGGAAGCTGTCCCTTAGAATAGCCCTAGCAGGGGAAAAAGTCCATGTATGTTGTTCAACTGGTTAGCCCTGAAGCCAAGGACAGTATCATCTGTTACCCTAGGCTCAGGCCATCCTGGTAATTATTCAGCCCACCTAAAGCATTTGCCATGGAAATCTTTCTATCCAGCCAGTACAACTGAGAGGACTGATGCATTCTCCCTCAGCTATGGCTGCTTAGCCAAGAGTTCAATTTAATGCTTATGGACTACTGAAATACACTGCTGAGCATGTTACAAGCAGAGCTCTGCCTTGTTCTTGTTGAAGTTAACACGAGCAAGAGAAATAATCAAAACCCTGGTCCCCTTTGTACTTTCTAAACAGTTTTGACGGCAGTGAGAAAATATACTGACAAGTATCGAACCTCAGGCTATATGATTGGTGTGATCCCCCATGGGATCAAATGCCCTTTTTCCTTCCTGTGGCATTTAACCTGCCCCAAGAAAGTCACAAAAAAAAAAAAATCACTTCCAGTTTCTTAATTCAGATAAAGGTATTTGCTATATCCTTAATGTCTGGAGTTCAAATATTTCTGCTCCACATTTTCAGATACAGATGTTATTGAAATCTGTAAGATCAAAACAACACCACAAGTTAGTTGTCTTTGTTTTTTCCTGATTAGGATCATCAGCAAAGTTCTCAAGAACTCAGTTTAGCAATCAGACTTCCCAATTGCTTTCAACAAGTTTTCCCTGGCATCTCAGGTTCGGGAGACTAGAACCTACATCGTGCTAATAGAGGACACGGCAGTCTTCTACTCACACCTCCACCCTTAAGCATGCAGAAAACATTGAGAGTAACGCAGTTCAATCTCACATGCTATGTCTCTCTATTCCATTGGGTCCTTACCTTTCCCTTGGATATCTGTTATCGTCTCTGCTGCCCTCTTCAAGCTTATTAGTGACAATGTTTTTTTAATGCAGATATTTGGGTTGGACACTTGCAAGGTTCAAGTTTTATATTAAATTCAAAACTAAATTCCAGCATTAGCTTTTTGGGTTTTGAAAACAAAATAAAAAAAAAATCTTAATGAACTAACAATACAAGTATTTGATTCTTATATTATACTGTTAAGTTCTTCTGTCGCCTGCAGTTTGACACCCGCCCCGTACAGAATACTACACCCTGTCAGCACAGAAAGACAGTAAACTACTAAATAAGGATATTATTATTGCTGCATTTACTTAAGTAATACTTTATGAAGTTACAATGATTGTCCAACTAGTTACTAAAAAGTCATTAACTGACGTTTTCTATCACACCTTTCTGTATTTAACTGCCATAGTATATGTGCATATACATATGCACACACACACACACAAAACGGAGTTTTCATTAATTAGTCTTCCATAGGATTTCACAGCATCACAGAATGGGAGGAGTTGGAAGGGACATTCGGAGATCACCTAGTCCAACCCCCCTGCCAAAGTAGGTTCATCTAAAGCAGGTTGGACAGGAATGCATCCTGGTGGGTTTTGGATATCTCCAGAGAAGGAGACTCCACAGCCCCTCTGGGCAGCCTCTGCCAGTACTCTGGCACCCTCAAAGTGAAGTTTTTCCTCACGTTCAGATCCAGTTTGTGCCCGTTGCCTCTTGTCCTAATGCTGGGCACCACTGAAAAGGGTCTGGCTCCATCCTCTTGACACCCGCCCTTTAGATATTTATAAGCATTGATGAGAGCCCCTCTCAGTCTTCCCTTCTCCAGGCTAAACAGACCCAGGTCTCTCAGCCTCTCCTCATAAGAGAGGTGCTCCAGTCCCTTGACCATCTTCGTAGCCCTTGGCTGGACTCTCTCCCGTAGTTCCCCGTCTTTCTTGAACTGGTGAGCCCACAACTGGACACAGGACTCCAGATGTGGCCACACCGGGGCAGAGTAGCTGGTGAGGATGACCTCCCTCGACCTGTTGGCCACGCTCTTTTTAGTACACCCCAGGATGCCATTGGCCCTCTTGGCCACAAGGGCCTGGTGCTAGCTCATGGTCATCCTGTTGTCCACCATGACTCCCAGGTCCATCTCTGCAGAGCTGCTTTCCACCAGGTCAACCCCTAACTTGTACTGGTGCATGGTGTTATTCCTCCTCAGATGCAGGACCCTACACTTGCCCTTGTGGAACTTCATTAGGTTCCTCTCCGCCCAACTCTCCAGCCTGTCCAGGTCTCACTGAATGGCAGCAGAGCCTTCTGGTGTGTCAGACACTCCTCCCAGTTTTGTGTCATCAGCAAACTTGCTGAGAGTACACTGTCCCCTCATCCAGGTCACTGATGAATATGTGGAACAAGACTGGACCCAGTACTGACCCCTGGGAACACCACTAGTTACAGGCCTCCAATAGACTCTGTGCCACTGATCTCTCTGAGCTCTGCCACTCAGCCAGTTCTCAATCCACCTCACTGTCCACTCATCTAATGCGCACTTTCTCCTACAGGAATGTTATGAGAGACAGTGTCATTTCAGGAAACTGATACTGCTCTGCTGTATTCCAAAACTATTAACTGATAATCAACAGCCCTCTTGAAATTATTATTCTTGTATGAAATCCCTCCCTGTAGTTAATTGTGTTTAGAGATCCTCTCATGGCAGTACCTACTGAAAACCCAGTAATACTCCCTCCAATATTAGAAAAATCAAATCTAGATGAGGGCCCTACAAATAAAACAAAGTGAAGCATTGTACAAAGACCAAGAAGCATTAAATAACCAAGTGTCCTGGTTCGAGCAACACGGGACTAATTTCTCTTGTAATACTTGGGAAGACTGCACTTTCAGAAGACTAGTGTCTGAATTTGGGAAAATATTTACTTCATAGCCAGCTACTGTGCGTGGGTTTCAAGGTCTCAGTGTTTTTGAGCTTGCCAGGTGCAGGCAGACCTGAGCACTTGACCCAAGCTGGCCAACAGGATTATTTCATACATGAGCATCACATTCAATATAAATTAGAAAGTTTGCTGCAAAGCTCTCTCTCCCGTGATGGCTGCCACCCTGAGAACTTCTTGCCCCACTGCCAGACTCCTGAGCCCTTCCCTTCCTCCCAGAGTCACAGCGCTCACAGTGCCCGACATTTACTGTCTGCTGCTGGCAGTGCACAGCTTCCTGCAGACAGAATTGGCTGAATATAATCTTTGCATATTCTGTATTTGTATCAGGATCAATAGTTTTTTTTAGTGCTATTAATGTTAATTATCTAATCTTATTCTATTAAATCTGTTTATATTTCAATGCCTGTGTTTCCTTGTTTTTTCCTGATTCCCCTTCCCAGGTGGGGAGGGCTTATCAGGTGATAGAATGATTGCCTAAACAACAATAAATTGTTATGGGTTTCTCAAACTGTAACACCAAGGTAGTTCCAAGTGGTTTCAAAAGCCCCAATAAAGGTGCTTCCCTAAGACCTATAAAGTGCTGTACATCAGTATAAGATTCTGGAAAGGTATAAAAAAAAGAAAAAAAGTAGAAAATTGACTTTACCAGAAACAGCCATAGTATCACTGATCCACGCAATTGAAAATATCCAGTCCTTATGACCATCCTAAAAGAAAAAAAGACAGATTTTTCTGTGCCATTATACTCTAGAGCAGTCTCAAAGCAGACAATTATTCTTCACTTAAATTTTTAGTACAAACTCAGAAGGAGCGACCTACATTAAGAACATACAGAAAAGATTCCAATATCAAGCTGGAGCTGTTATGTACCTAACAGTAATTTTACCTTTTTTGGTTTTTTAATTTTGAAGTAAGTAAGTAATAGAGGACAACTGGGTGATGGAAAAACAGCTCTCTGACAGAGGACAAACTGATCTCAATTCTAAGGACTTAGGTTTCCATTTTGAAAGCAGCATTCTTTACTTCTGTAAAGTAGCTACATACTTGTATTTCCTCAAATGCAAATCCTTACTGTAAAAAGTAACCAAAACCTTATGTTTACAATGTATGACCTACAGATTAATTTTTCAAGACTATTACTTCAAGAATCTTTTCTTTAGCAGGTGAGAAACCTATAGGAAAAAAGAGACCATAAAGCTTTAGTTCTGTTTGAAAAGCTGCAAAGTCACAGCAGCAGGCAAATGAACATCAAGTCATGCAAATCTTCTGAGTTGAGCCTTTCTGCAGCTGGTTATCTGCTACAGCAGAAACTCTGACCTGACCTCTGCTGTTGTAGTCAATGCCTATGTGAAGTCCTGAATCAAAAACGAGAAATAAGAGAGAAGTGGTTACAGGACTCCACTACACTCATTTCAGCCTTTTTTCTTTTTTAAAACCAGCTATTTTAAAAAGGTCTCATGATGTTTCAGAAATACAGGGAGTACCAGAGCCTATCAAACTGCCCTAAGTTCCACCTCTGGAATAATATATACATAAACTGCACTGGAGAAGGGGAAAATTCAAACAACTTGTAGCATCTTTTCAATTTCTCAAAAGAGCTTTTCCACTAAAACTAGTCTCAGAGGTCATAATCACAATTAGACTTCAACATTTAGGATTTTTTTTACATTTTCTGTGCTTAAAAGCAATCTGAAGTAGACCTGAATGAGGGTGAGGAAGATGAAACATGACTCAGAACCCTGAAATTCGTCTCACGTGTTTGCATATTCACTCATATTTAAAATATTTTGTCAAAAAAGACAATCAGGAATGTTTTCAAGCTTTCATAAATTAACTCTCCCCTACAAGACTCCCAAATCTTAACCCTTCTCTGACCTTAGGCAATTCAAAGTAGCAGTTCTTGCGAGTGACAGAATAAACCTTCCCCAAATACTCCCACTTACATCTCCCACACAGACAGGATCAAGTGTAGGCAGACGATAAATTGCAAGACTGTTGGGGTTGTCTCCACCTGTGGCCAGAAGGGTCCTCGATGGGTTGAGCTCAATGGCATGAATACCACATCCCTGCTGGTTCACCATGCCGGGTTCACGATCTTTCAGAATAGGAATCTTGGTAATTTGACCAGTCTGGACATCTACCACAAATAACTGGGGGGGAAATAATAAAAAAAAAAAAAACAAACAACAGGAGATGCAAGTCATCACTGAACAGATAAGAAAAACAAGATGGTCAAATATTCTCCCTATTTTGAATTGACATTCTTTTCAAGTTGGAATCCACAAATGCTGCAAGTATGGCTGAAAAATGCATAAATACCTTCTTACAAGTAAACTAGCTTCATTACAGTGGGCTTTATTTCAATCATCCCATTTGGTTTTAACAGCAATAGAGGTGAGAAATTTGTCATGGGAGGATTCCCATTTAGCCAAACCATTGAATCTAAAACTCCCTTCTCTGTTCAATCCTGTAAAAAAACCAACATTGTTTGCCAGTTTCCCCATACAACAGTGAGAAAGTGACCCACCTCAAAACAGCCAGTAAAACCCAGCAGGCTTAGCACAAGCTTGCTGCATCCCAGGTAAGATACTTATCGTGATGATTTGGCTTTGGCGAACTGACACTTCATACATTTATATAATTGGAGTTTTATTTCTGGTGATACACAGCGAATATTAACTAGATATAGTACTGCCAGTGTGAACATCTAAAAAAAGATATCTAGTTACATACCTCATCCTGCAAAAAAAACCTAGAAGTTGGTGCTCTATGTCACTGTCCCCTTGGCAGAAAACTCAGTTACAAAGCCTTACAACCCTTCAAACAGACATCATTATACCCAGAGTTATGTCAGCTCAAACATATATGACCATAGAGTTACAATCTAAAGCAGAATAAAGGTTTACACTGCCTGCCAAAGTGCACTTCCATTTGGGAGGCTCCTGTGCTGGATCATTTCACAGATGTTGTTCAAAGAGCAGCTGCACTAAGTCAGATAACATAAAGGGACAAAGCCCTGTGAGGAACATGAATGAGAAGCAACAAAATGAAGGATCTGAAGCCGACTTGGCACTAAGGAAAGTGATATAGAATCGCAGCCTAAGATTATAACTAAATTCCACCCCCACTCCCCTTAAGTTTGTTCCTTCTATAACCAAAGAACATTGTCTTAAAGCCTCTGGAAGTGAACTGAAGAGAGAAGACAACAACAAAAAACCCAAGAAAACTCAATGCAATTAAAAAAAATATACCCCTCAAGGAAATTGTTCTGAAGTCCTTTGTCAGGCATTTCTAGAAGGACGGAAGAGAAATCTAGAGGTTCTCACAGAGGAGTTGTAAGTGAAAGTTGGTTTTGGTGAACTCTCACAGACTGTAGATCTGTTCGTTAGTAAGCGTGAAAAAACTCAAGAAAATTTAACAGCCTATTATTCTCAATGTACTGAACTAGCAGAATACGAACATCAAATCAAAACCTGATAAAAGTATGGTAGTTAAACTCATTCTGCAGAGAAAGCTGAAATCCACTAATCACTATTTGTGTGTTCTGTCTAGAATCATGCACCATCTTCAACCCGCAACTTTCTCTGTAGGCAGCAGTCTTGCACAAAGAGATGACTGTTCCTACAGGGACTGAATTTTCATGTTTAGTTCTTTATTTTGCACACAGGTGTGGGATCAGGCAACAGCCAAAGCGCAGCTGAGTAGGAGGGAGGCACTCCTCACTTCTCCCAAGCTTCACAATGCAGTTCAGTGCCTGAGACAGCAGGTGAAAACATGATGCACACAGCAGCCCCTCTGCCCTAACTGTGTCCCTGAAAATTAACACCTGCACTGTAGGATCACGACCAGTAATTCCCTCTCCTCTCATCCTCCCTTGTCCTTCCCCTATAAGTGCATATCGTCTTTTCCTCCTCAGTATTTGTTTCCAGAGGGAAGACCCAATTCCTTCCCCTATCCTCCTTCAACTGCTGAAAATAAACCCAAATCAACACTTAAGTACCTACGATTATGGCTTGCCAGTGTCATCTGCAGGTCCTAAAGCAGGAACTAACTAGGAAAACACATCCACACCTCAGGATATCCATAGAGTCAGGAAAACCATGCTTCAGCTGGAAGAGATTCATACTTCAAAGAGCACCTCAACAGGTATGAGGACTGAAATTAAAAACCCTTCACATTCTCCAGTCTGACACCACTGTCATACATCCATGTTTGGTACTAGGTTAATAAAGACCTACTGTAGTGCAAAATTCCATTAGCTAAACTCTAAACTAATTGGGCTGAAAAGATAAAGAACTTGGAAAAACACAACGCTGATGCATCAGACCCTTATTTCTCTCCTGGATCTTCAATCTCAACATCACTTTCCTGTAACAAGTTTCCAAATTAAGATATACTAAGAACAGCAATAGGACATATTTCTTGCAGTGCTTTCATCTGCTTATACCCCACTCTAATCCATAGTCAGCACTTGAATTGCGTTGTAATTTCCTCAGTTTTCTCTTCCAGTTGCATAGTATTACCATAAACAGAGCAGCAACCGCT